CCCCAAAACCCCAAAACCCCGGTATTAAAAAATATATAGAATTTTAAAGTGAATTATCAAAATAATTACATAAATATTCAAGGCCATAGAAATGAAAATAACCTAGCATCTTCTTAAAGCTTACAATACTCCAACTAACCTCATTGACTTTACTAAGAGAGGCATCTTCGGCAAGATCTTTACTTAAAGAGAATAGTTCAAAAAGGAACAAGCAAAGTTTGGTAAGGATAGAGGTGATTCATATCGTATGGAATATGAAAAGGATCTAAAAGAAAGATCTGAAAGAAAGTTAAACTGGAACATTAAAAATAGATGGGAGCAAAGAGATTTAGATGACATTTTGAAGAATCAGGATATTAAGAGTTTGAGATTCAGAGATTTCTCTCAAATGGCTATGAATAGCTAGTATGCCAAAGACATTTAGGAATTTTCATCAGTAGATGAGATATATTATTACATGGAGACTATGTTCTCAGAGGGGTTTACTGAGAAACATATCTGTATTGCACTTGATATCTTCTTGAGAGATGCTGCACAGTTTCAAGATAAAGATCTCTAAACCACAACCTTCAAATAGTTTGTAAGAGAGCTTGGTAAAAACTTGATCACTTTTAAAGACGAGAAAAGCTATATTAAAGCTGCAAAGTTCCTCGATATATTCTGCATCGATGATAAATTTTTGTGGATTAATCTTGAATTATTCCTTATGAAGAAAGATAATTTATTCACTCCTAAGGGCATGGTTGATTTAATGAGTCATTTCTCAAGTTAGAATGAGGGCTCAAGAGATTTTTACGATTTTTACGAATTCTTATTCCTTTCTAAAAAATTCGATAAACTTAATACCCATGACTTTATCTCACTAGGCTATAATTTTTATACTGTGCATGCTGGAACTGTAAACTTTTTCTAACACTATTCTGATGCAATGGCTGAACGATTAAATGATAAGGTCACAACTTATGATTTGCTAAGAGTACTTTAAACTTTTTCAGAAATAGCGCATAAATTCCCTAAGCTATTCACATAATTAGAGATGATATTCTTAAAGAGATTTGATTAGATGACAGTAGATGAAATGACTTGTTGTGCTGCTGGTTTCGCTATATCTGGCTTTGGATCATAATATCTCTTTACCCTTATGGAATAAGGCATTTTTGCTAATGTTGAGGCGTTCTAGGCAGAAAATATTAAAGAGATTTGCAAGGCATTCATTTTTTCTCAAAGGGGGTCAAAGCAGCTACACAACTTCATGCTGCCTAGGATTCAATAATCACTCGAATCATTTTCATGCAGAGAGCTGTGCTACCTGCTACATGGCTATTTCAAGAAAGACTGCTTGAATAAGCAATTTGCTAAGACTATTGAAGAATAAGTGGTTAAAACTTTAAGACTGACTAGTGCTATTCAACCTGATGAAATTGCTTTAATTACTAAAGTATTTTGCACCACAAGGACAGGCTCCAGAGAATTTCATAAATTATTAGAGACAACTGTGCTTTCTAGGCTTGAAGATTTAAAAAAGAATATGGATATTCTGTATCAAATTGGCTATAAATTTGAGGAGAGTGGGTTATGCTCACTTGACACTTTAAAGCTTCTTAAGAAACATGTCTTCATGTAGGAACTTGAGAAAGATGTATTTAATTGATATTGAAATAAACATAAAATCATTTATAGATTTCTTTGGTATTGCTTTAGAGTGGGGTTTTGGGGTTTTGGGGTTTTGGGG